TCAGCAGGACAGTGAAGCGTTTTAGAAGGTGTTTCACAGAAGGCAGCATTTTTGGTCCTGCTCTCCAAAAATAGCAAGGTGCTTATCTCTGCACTTGGTATCCAGCTATGACTCTTTGACTTTGCACAGTAAAGCCGGGTCAGTCCTTCACTGAAAAGAAACTAGAAAGAGCTGCTTCCTCTGTAACAGTTCAGTGCATAATGCATGTAGCTGGGAGGCAAAAGACTCGTTTCCAAATTCCCACTCTACTGGACTGTTGAGCAGAGACATAAATTCAGGTCTCCTACAACTCCAGCATGTATTCTTAACCATCAGAATATTAGATATTCTAAACCAGTTTTCTTGCAGTCGTTAGGTTGAAATCATTCCATTTTATATAAATAATCATCTTTTAGATGAGGCATTTGAGCTGCACTTTTCCCCATGAGAGTGTTGTAAACCTCCAAACTGCAGAGCCAGTCAGACACTCAGTCTGTGACTACTTAATTATACATTTGTAATGAATAAAGCACTAAAGGAGACACCAAGACAGACTTTCTCAGAATACTGAGCAGCGCTGTAGCCAGGGACACTTTCCTGGGAGATGGGAAATGCCACTAGACGCTACTGTCTGAAGCAGGTAGAGGGAGATTTCCAAATCTTCCACTAGTGGCATTTTTTTGCAAGATAAAATGATAAAAGGGGACATTTCCTCTAGTTCCTAACAGATTTCCTTTTTGGCTTCACCCAATAGGCGAGCTTTCAGAAGCCGTACCAGCTGGGCCATCCAGAAAGACCAGGAAAAATGCTTAGTTGGAGAATGTGCAGATGATGGCTCAGTGGCCTCATTTTGTGTGCGCTGGGACATGCTCCATGGAAGAAAGTTAGATGCCAGAGGGGCTTCAGGCACACTGCAAGTGTAGGTGATGAAACAGTGTTGTTTTGGAGTCCTTCTTTACAGTTGCACCTTATTTAGCTTTGAAAATCCATTCCAAAACACTCATTCTAAAATAGGGTCTCTGCATTTCAATCAGCACTTGAAGCACCTTTTTTTAGAATACAGTGCATTTGTTTCTTTTTACAGGAGGCACCAATAAACTATTAATAATTTATCAGTACTTCAACAGATGTTGACAATTTTAAAACAGAGGAGCTTCTTTTTTTCTCAGAGCCACATGTTAGTTAATGTTAATGCTTGAATGACAACTATATTATTCTGTATGAATTCGAATATGGAATATATAAATCTATCAACTAGTTATACATTATCTCAGAAATGTGGTAACACAGGACTCAGACTATGCACAAGAATGTGATAATAAAATCACAACATTATCAACTTGGGATTAGACCTCGCTGACAAACCACAGTTACATCATCAAAGTTATTCTGAAGGAGCAATAATTCTGCCTGCTCTCTCAAAATTATAGTATTTTTATATATCACTAATTTACCAAAATGTGTACACATTTCTTCTAAAAAGTGTGTATATATTTTATTTTATATTTTATTTCACCTGCAGTGAATCTATGTTGGTTTTGTTATCTGTTATTTGATTTTGGGGATGTCTCCCTCCTAATGGCATAAAGGTACCATTTTTATGCCTGATGCACCACATGATGTTGTCATCTAACCTGGCACATGGACTACCGTTCCCTGGTGGGGCCTTCTGTGCTTCTGGAAGTAAACTGCATTGCCAACAGTATCTTTTAACCTTATGCATATATATAGTCTGCCTACATTGAACACAGTTATACATAGTCTTACATAATCTGATTTTTAAAATCTTCTGCTTAAACTCAGTTTTGGAAAGTCAAGATTAAAAGATGTCAGCTCACACTCCGCAGTAAAGGGCTGAGTGATGCACGGTTTCTAACTTAATTCCTTTTGATTCTAATTTAATTTACTGTGACATCTTTTAGATGCGGACAACCTGAAAGACCTGTCTTTTTCTATAGATGAATAAAAAAGCCATTTTACTTATAGCCTTAACATGGTGTTCATTTGGGTTCAGCTATGTAGTAATATTTTTCTGACCTTTACACAGACTTTAGAGTTATAAAAAGGAAAGTCAGGAAGAAATAACTCACAGGCTGTCCAGGCTCATCTCCTCCCAGGATCCTGAAGCCAAACCCAGACTCCATTCTCCGAAGGTGAACATCCAGCTCCTTGTAATCGGGACCTGGTTTAAAGGGAAATCCCACTGAGCAAAGCATTTTGGCTTTGTCTTGAGAATTTGCACCATTTTCCCTCCCACCTTGTGTTCATTGCACATGACTAATGGCATCCTGGTTAGAGCTGGTGGAAACAAATGGGACAATGTGTTGTACACAGACAAGGAGGAGACTTGAAAATGTAGGTTATCTCTTGGAGAATGATTATGTTCAGTAGAATACACTAAACCAAGCTAGAACACATTCACAGGAGAACAGTGCTGGAAAAGTTTGTCCAAAACACAGGTTATAAAGGTGTCTTCTTCCTACAACTGACTGCATAATATACTGCTGTTCATCCACCTCTGGTATTTAATTTGTGTTTTCCTTGCAGTTCGTTAAAACCTAAAGAGAATAAACTGAAATGGGAGATAGAGATACACAGAAAAATTATCAGTCCAACTTACGAAAGATGAATAATCATTACAGGCCATTTTAGTTCCACATACAGATATAAAGCAGTATGTCTTTTTATGTAATGTAGCTTTTAAGTACTCCACTTTCAGGTAATACCCTCAATAAAGAGTTTTGACAAAAGCTATCATTATAAGCCTCTGAGTCTTAGGTTTTAAATTGAAAGCTAACATCATTAACTTGAACTCCTTAATGCTACTCAATTAAAGTCTCAACAGCTTTATGGATCATTAAGATTGTGCTTTCATATGCCTGCGTAACTTGCCTGTAAACATATATTCTGCCCTGGAATATATCAGTTCAGGAATGTAGTGTTTTTTAAAAGTCAGTTTCTTATAAAAGAGTCTAGCTTCATTTGAAAGAGTCCATTGTTTCGAGTCTTGATGCCCTCAAATTACAAAAGGGAAGTTTTGAATAAAATTTCAAGTAGTATAAAGTGAAACCGTAAGCAGTTAGAGGACTAAGAAGTTGTCTATTTTGACTATTGCTTTGTCTGCATGTTCAGAGATGCTTTAGGCTCATCACCTTAAGTAGGACAGTGATTAACAGGAATGGTCTTTCATACAGATTGCACTCTGGTCTATAAATTGTGACAGCTTTTGGCCAGTGTCAGCTTGTTGCCAATCCCAACAGACAAAAAGGGATGAGTAGGTTTATTTCAGCAAACTGTTCACAGTGTCTCCCATTGTGCCTTGTTTTCTCAGGAGGGGAGGGACTACAGATGGCTGAAACACGGTACTTCAGTGTCTGTCATTTACAGATCCCCCCCCAGAGCCATCAGTGGACACCTCACAAACTGTGGAGTTGGGCAGATCCCAGCTTTAGTCTGGGATTAAAGCTGATTCAGTTTCAGTCAGGTCTTGCAAAGACAGAGACACAGAACTACATGCAGTGGCTCTATACTATGACCGTGCAATAAAAATCCTCTCTAGACAGCAGAGTAGCGCATTATTTCTGCAATGTATATTGGTATGAGTGAGACTGAATCACAGCTATTTCAGTTGGTAAAATAAAAGTATTACCTTTACCTACCAACTTGCTTCTCATGTATTTAGAAGACAAACCAAACAGATCCTAACAGCTTATTATCCTGATTTTTTCAATTTATTTGATGTGTCTCAACAGTAAATAAAAGAACAAATGAAGTTTGTGCATGTACAGTATGTTAACTTAACGCAAAGCTTGTTTCAAAGTTGCGAGAGGCAAAGGCATCTTTAGATGAAAGCGATACCTTATCTTTACCTGATTTGCTGTGCCTAAGTGTAACACAGATGGGGCTTAGTACTAGGGAGAAGGCTTTGTAGATAGACACAGTAGGATCACCATTTATAGCCTAGGTCTAACATTCAAAGGCACTGTTTCCAGCAGTCTGTCACAAACCAAACACTACCTTTATTTGTGGACACAGGAATGAATATGCACAGTTGGGAATACATTAAGAAAGTATAAGAATGTCAGGTTGTGAAGAATACATGCTCTGGTACACTGAGATAAAAACGTCCCTCAAACACATACATTGACAAAGCTGATCCAAACCAATGTTGACATCAGACTTCAAAATAAGAGGCACTATTTTTTTTAAAAGAGGCTGTTTTTCTACCCATTTAGAATGGAACAAGTAAACCAGGTTGACCATGAAAAGGTTTAGGCTAAAAATACTGTATATGGGCATACTTTTCTATGAGCTCCTACACAGTTTGGAAGCCTTTGGATTAGCTGACTATGCTATCACGATTGCTCAGAAGAGCCTTCCTTCCCAAATAGCTGGAAGTCTATGGAGCCCATTCTCTGCCAACTCTTACCAGGTCACTGAAAACTGTTTTTAAAAAATAATGTTCTTTTCTGTCCCACCTAAAAAACAAAACATGGGACTGGAAAGGATCCCTGGGTCATCTAGTCCAGCTCCCTGTTATTGCAAGCCTCTGCAAGCAAACAGCACACAGACCTTACCAGCAAAGAAGACACTGGGTGCCCAAGCCTGTTTGTGGCCTTTGTCACTAGGTCATTCAGCACATCACCTCATTCAACATTTCACTGATGGATTGCACCCCATGATTTTGATTACTTTTTCACAGTAATATCATATTATCTCCAGCAACTGACTAGTACGTGTAAGAAGCATTTCCTCCACTGCTGTTGCTGGTTGTTAAAACTTTCGTGCTTGGTATGATATGACTCCATTAACTGCACTGACCCGCTCTCCATTGGTCTGGAGACAACTACACCATAGATAACTGAAGTTACATGTCTGAATGTGGACCTCATTTCCACTCTTAGTTTTTGTGCTTAGGTCATTAATGAAAACAACACAGAAGACTTATTGCAAGGCTCTCCACTAATATTACCCTTTCAGTCCAGAAACTGTTCTTTTAGTAGAATTGCTTATCTGGTTTCTAGCTATTCCTCTTTACATTTTGTGCTAAAAACTGTCTTCTCCAGGCTAACATGGAAGTGCCTCAATTATAACTGGCATTTTGTAAAATGTCTAGTTGAAGTCTAGATTGATTAAACATGCATCAAAAGGTGCAAAAGGTCAGTTACCAGGTTAGTCTGACACAACCAATTTTTGGTAAATGCCTTTTGCATTAGGTCTCAGTTTATCTCCATATTGGCAGTTAGTCTTTAATCAAAAATACGTTCTAAAGTCTTGCTGCTGATGAAATCCCTTTTTTCCTGTTTCTTAAAGACAGGTAAGTTCACAACTATGTGTTTTTACTACAGGAGCTCATGCTTGGTAGATTTACTAAAAGCCCCTACTATTATGTGGCAGCAGTTTCAATATTCTTGAATGTACATTGATCAAGTATTCTTACCCACATAAGTGATTACGTTTCATCTGATATTTCTTCAGTGCTTGCTTCTCTAGGATTCTGGTACTTTTTTCTACACAAAGGATTGTTAGATAAACTAAATTTTGCCTTTTCTTGCTGGAGCAGATTTTCAGTTGATAATACAAAGAAAATTACCTATACTTACAAAAAAATGACGCTTCTGTGCCTTGCAATATACTGCCAACTGTTGGTTAATATAACTTCATTATGGAAAATGCACCTTATTTTTTTCCTTTGTAAGCTCGATTAGCACCTTGTAGTTAATGCCAAGTAAGAAGAAATGAATAGGTTTGCAGACACCGGAGTCCAAGCTAAGACTGAGTTAATACAGTCTTTTGCACAGTTTGCTTTTCCTTCCAGTTCAACTTAATACACCTGAATGTCCCATCTCCTACTAGTTTCATTGAAAGGAGAGTTTCAGGTTGAAGTCAATATTTCTGATCGTATAATATGGGCATCCTGTGCAAGAATGACAATGTTCCCTGTTCTCCCTTGCCTCTCTGCCCATTTATATTAGAAAAAGAACTTTAGATATGCCTGCTAGTAACTTCATTGTCTTTTTTATAGATATAGCATTTTGTTTCTTCTTTTTGTGTAAAGGAAAATGTTCTTAACTGATCATTTGGCCTAGAAGAGAAAAAAAAAAACAATTCACTTTGCTAGGTTATAAAACCAGCTGGCTCCCCCACAAATTTGAGAATGGTATTGGACAAGCTGTGATCTGATCATTGCTGCACAGTGAGGATGGTAAAGAGCATTGGGAAATTCTGTTTTCTGGTTCCTGGACAACAGGAAATTTGCTTTAAATGTAAAGGTACCAGAATAGATTGTTACTGAACAATACTGGGATCTCATAGGCGAAGTTGTGATTATCAACTCTCAGCTACATGTCTGTACTGTATTCATGTGAATTCCTAGGTGAATTACACATTAAGTGTACATGCAATTGTTTCTTGAAAGTATGTAGAGAAAATATATCCCTGAAGAAGATTAATTCATTTTCTGTATGAGTCAAGTTGCACAAGTGCTATGTGATTTTTATAGTGATAAACCTGGTATTTGGGATGATGCTGTAAATGTTGAGATGGAATATTTTTTTTAATTAAATCTCCTCTATATTGCAATTAAAACAAGGATGAAGAGTTTTGTTGTAATAATTTTACAGTCTTTCTGGGTGTACTCAACTTTCCTGCTAAAAATAAAAATTAATTTGGACTCCTTTGCTGAAGATGGTGAAGATTTTTGTTCCATATAAATCATTACTGTGAATTGTGAATGGTGATTGACACAAATCTACAATAACTTTTTTTCTGAGTTTCAAATGCTCTTGAAAGATGTGAAAAGCTTGAAAACAGTCATGGGTCTGCTGGTCTCCAATGTGAGTAGCTTTTTAAAAAACATACATATTTTCTCTTGATATTTACAGAGAGGAAAAGCTGGTAAATAAAGACTTCAGTAGAAAAATCAGCAAAGCAAAAAAAAAAAAGAAAAAAAGAACTGGTGTACTAACAGAGTTATTCAACCTATAAACCTTACTGGGGTATGCAAAACCAGCCCAATATCATATTTAATTTAGGATCTCTGTCCAACCAGTGCCGGATTAGAAAAAACTTTAATGTCATTGTCAAAACAGCCTTTTTTGTATGGGATGCCTGTTTTAACTGTTCACTTAACATGATCACATCGGGAAATCAAATATTGCTGGTTTTTAAACAAGTCCATTG